GTATGTGTTCTTTAATCCAGCCATTTTATTCTTGCATTGTATACTAGTAACATGATAGCCTTTATCAATTAATTGACAAGAAACCACATTCCAAAACTTTTTTACTGATATTTTACCAGATGTCATTTTATTTTCATGTTCTTTATAAATTGTAAGAAGCAACAGAATTGCTTCATGAGGCCAACGAAAGCTATCTGTAAATAATATACTTGTCTTTAGATTTATTCTGTTCATATGTTAATAAGTTTCTATTAAATATAGTAATATTATATTATATACCTTTTTCTTCAACGTCAGAGAGTTGCTGGGTTTTATTGTCAGTAGAAGTATGTATATTATTATCATCACAAGAAGATGTAGAAGCTTCTGTAAATGTATATATATATATGCATACATGTATATATTATATATATATATGTATATACATCGCATAAGCATAATACATTATTGTCATTATAAAAATACGTGTATATATTATATATATATTTTTTATAGACAATAGTTGCTTTCCATTTACACACAAGTGAAACTGAGTCTGAAGTGAGAATTATCTGAGTTTGGTACAAATGGAAAGCAACTAATAATGTATTATGCTTATGGGATTAAGATTGTTCATAATAATTATTTTTAATAGCAATAAACATGAGATGTGTAAGAGTTATCATTACCTAGTTCATGAACTGTCTGAACTGGTTCGTTAACTGTTTGAGGTTGACTAGCTAATTTTTTTTGCAAAAGACGCGTTGCGAATAACATATCTATTTAGGGAAGACATCTATTAGAATTTTCCTCTTTTCATAAAATTACAAAACTATACACAAAATAGTTCTAGATATAGGTTATATATTTTTACCTTTATTAGCTTTCGTGAATTCCTCCTCTGATACTTCTAGAATGTAAGTATTCCCCGAACGGTCGTCATATAATGTTAGAGCGGGCATTTTTGATGTTTTTCAATACTTTATAGGTCACACGATCCACGATCGATTCGCAGTAGATAGTTCTTACCTAACCAAATAATCATACACATTTCCCGCGTCTTGCGAGGATTCAAAAAACGCTTCAGCCGTACTACCTCTTCGGCTGTAGCATTGGAAGCGAAATAGAGGGGGAAATCTGTGACGTTTCGATGACGTAATTGATGCTATTGAAGTGTTTCAAAATGCTTAAATGACCGTACCTGAAATGTTTCGAAGCATTCGTAGCAACTCGACCGCACCCTTAAATTACATAATAATTACGACTTTTCGCTTACGTTTCCCCGGCAGTAGCCCGTATTGCCTGGTTAAGTGTAGGTACGTACTTATAATTTGAAGTCCGCGAAGTAACGTATATACGTGCCGTGAATTGTATAATGTACATCTCGCAACGCTGCAGTGAATATAATGTAAGTGTGATGAATATATTGCGTCTAACAAAACTTTATCCGAATACAATCCTGACTCCTCTTGATTCAGAGAATTCTCAATTTATTTCGAGACTCTCCGTTCAAGACGACATAACCTACAGGTAGGATGAGAGATAACGATTGACCTACAGGAGGCAAAATTAATGCCATTAATGCCATTAACCAAACAAGTTGCTCATGTGCATCACGCTATATTGCTAAAAAGTTGCTCTTTCATCTGTGTTTTAACTTATATCGAGGAAAAACGTAAGTACATTTATTTCAATAAGTTTGTATTAACATATATAATTTTTATTATTCCATATATAATTTAATATTAATCGGTCTCTTCTGAGATTTTAATTTTTTTCGCTTTTTCCCCACAGGAATAGTGTTTGTAAATCTTGCACAAAGTTATACACTATAATAATACATATATATCTGTGTGAACTTTTGGGACCATCGAGTGGAATCAAATTGGACAAACAGGGAAAAAGTATATCCTACAGACAAACTTCCTGGAAACAACAAATTTACTCGTAATTTGCTGTGAACTTAATTATATATTCAACCCGAAATGTGTTTTCGAATACAAGTCAATTTATGGTAGATTATTCTGTAATAATTCAAAATGAAGCTTTTTATCTTTCGTAGTGGTTTCAATGTTTAATTTTATTAATGGGTTTTAATTTTATTAATTAATCAATCAGAAGAAAGATTTTACTATCTAACTAATCAAAGAACGCTTCAAAACATTTGTAGCATCACGTTGACCGTACCCTTCACCTTATTCCTATTATGCGATTAAATATATACTTGTATATATAACGATGACAGTGACTACATTTACACGGCACTCTTAATCGGATTTAATAACATCCGTAGTTATGAAACTAACCAATCACAGTCGTTCCATTCTTCCGATAACAGCTATGATTGGCAAATTTCATAACTACGGATGTTATTAAACCCGATTAAACGTGCTGTGTAATAGAGGTCATTAATTTAATATAAATCCAAGAAGACTAGAACTAAGGAGGATCAACTCGCGTGGTGGGGGTGAGTCAAAAAACGTCCGCGGCTATTCACACGATGTGCAGCGGCACTGCGCATTGTGTGAAAGTTCGATATAAGAGCGACAAAGTGACGATTATAGAACGATAGAGCGACAACTATATAGAGCGACAGAGAGGACTAATGAAGCGCAAGAGTGGGGGAAGTTATCCGTCGCCACTTTTTGCCTCACCCCCACTACCGCTATTGGCACGAGTTGATCCTCCTTAGTTCTAGTCTTCTTGTATAAATCTTATTAAAAATATTCTACATATTCGCAGAAACTGTGCAGGCCATCTTTAAGGTTGACATAAGGGTAATAGAAATTGCAATAATTAACTGGTTTCGCCATGCGAAGGACAAAAAGAAAAACAAGGACAATGCGGAGGATCGGAATAACAATAAAGAGAAACTAACCAGCAATCCAATACCGTAATTGAATCTTTTCCTCCTCCTTTCTCTACTCTATATCTACTCTTGCTCACATCGCAAGTTTGACATTATTTTTCACATTTGCCGTTCTTTATAGGCATACACACAAAATTTCAAGTAGATCTGTGAAATAGTAAATTTTAAACAGCGTTTAAAAGTGACTAAATTTGTTTCTTGCTACAATGTAAAAAGCGAATTCCCTAACTTTTTTCCATTGTAACAAAAAAAAAAACAAATTTGCTTATAAACGCTGTTAAAAATTTACTATTTACTATTCTACTTGAAATTTTCCATGTTAACACACGAAATTTATTAATGTATATATTCAGTTTAATCCGCTCTACCTATCCATGAATGGTGATGAGACTATTAATGAACAGATTATTATCAAATACCCTGTATATTATATTTATTTCCTTACTTATGTAATATACTATTTTGTAATATACAATGTTTATTATTAAATATGGAAATATCATCAATAATTTTGCTTATGGAATAAATTACATGTAACTACATTTAATATTTCTTGTAGGATTTTGAAGATGAAGATGATACAAACGACGAATGTAAGAGGAACAATGACAAATTAACATATCCAGTTAAATATCCAAATAAGGCTAACAAGAAGAAGCAAAAATAAACACGAGCCTTAACATTACGAAAATAAAACAAACTCTTAAGTTAAGTTAATATATTATACTAATTGTAAGCCCATCATTATTCGCATTTGCGAGAATTTAGAATAATTTCATTAGATTATACCATGACAAAATGGTAGTTTTCCATCTTTTAAAAACACAACTGGATTAACAAAATGAGATTATATTACGTAACATTTTGAAATAGTTTCAGACGATTTTATTAATTTGCTTAAATATGTTTATTTTATTTAAATAATATTTTTGTTTACTTTAGCTATTAAGCTAATCTTTTAATGTTTCTTTTCAAAGTAAAGTTTATTACAATATTACCTCAGTTATAGTTATAGACATTTGTATAGCATACGTCTAGAAAGTATACTCTTAAATATTTTTGCAGGCTAATATTTATTTAATAACATAGAATTTGACATTAAAAAAAGAAAATGTTTTTATGACAAGATTTTTATAAATATAATTTGCCTTCAAAAGTAATATTATATTATATATTGGAGTACTCTTGGATGATTTAAAATAAAAAATATTATAAAATTGAATATTTTTTTCTTTTGATAAGGTACGAACGTTGAGATGAATCATGATAACCCGAATATTTTTTTGATTTATTCTCGCAATGTCAACAATAATGGTTTTAGAAAGTCTTAACTCCATCAGCTACAGTGCGGTTAGTTAAAATCTACGAAGTATATGTAAAAAAATACAGGTGTTTAAATTGGTTTAAAAATGTCTATAGTTCGGGTCATTATTATGATCCAGCCACAATGACACCGGATTAAGCTATGATTAGAAACAAACATTGCACGGGCGCCGTATGGGCGTCAATTTATCAAATGATATATATATATACATAATATACGCATATATATATGTGTGTATATATATATATATTTTGGGTGGATCCATATATTCGTTCGGTTTTTGTTAGTAGTGCAAATTTTTTCCGAATATCTCCGGTTCTGGTTGCCTAATCGGGCAATCCAAATATGTTTTGGAAAGGTGACAGTCCGCTCTTTTCATCTGTCAAATTTGGTTTCATTGGCATTAGTTTTGTTTGTGCTACAGGCCTGTGAACATGTCGGAGAATAAGGTGCATTTTCGGCACATTTTGCTTTATTACTTCAAGAAAGGCAAGCGAGCTGCGGAGGCCCACCGAAAGATACGCCGATGCGGCGTATACGGGGACGATGCCTTAACAGAACGTGCCGCTCAGAAATGGTTTGCCAAATTTCGTTCCGGAGATATGAGTCTTGAAGATGGACCCCGCAGCGGTCGGCCCACCGAGGTTGATTCGAATGATATCAAGGCACTGGTTGAGCAAGACCGGACGC